ATGATATAACAAGAATGTTACAAGGTTGTTCTAACAAGTCTGATACAGTCATGATATAACAAGAATGTTACAAGGTTGTTCTAACAAGTCTGATAAAGTCATGATATAACAAGAATATGTTACAAGGTTGTTCTAACAAGTCTGATACAGTCATGATATAACAAGAATGTTACAAGGTTGACGACCCAAGGTTGTAACAATATTGTTTATCATGATTGTATTGGACTTGTTAGAACAACCTTGCAACAGGTCTGATAATATCAACAAGGTTGTTACAAGTTGTTAAGAGCTTGTTCCCAACTTGTTGACGGCTTGTTGGCAGACTTGCTACAAGATGTGAGATTTTTGCGCGTGTAGAAGTGGACTAAGATCCTCTCTTATTAATCCGGTGTTACCTCTACACGCGTAAAAACGCGCAAATTGTTAGAGATCTGCAAACAAGTCGTAACAAGGTTGTTGTGAAGCCGATATCAGGATGTGTTCGCACTGCTTGTTCCCAGTTGTTGCGACAAGTCTGGAACACATTGTTATCACCTTGTTACAAGGTTTATGACGGTAACAGACTTGCTACAAGTTGTTCCAACAAGACTAATACAGGCTGTTCGTAACAAGTTGCTACGAGCTTGTTGTCATCAACTTGTTACGTGCAGACGATATCAGACTTGTTGGAACAACTTGTTGCGAGTCTGTTGGCCTCGTCAACCTTGCTACGAGATGATAACAACTTGTTCCAGACTTGGCAACAACTGGGAACAAGCAGTGCGAACCATATATATCTTATATACACTAGATAGTGCATCTAATTATTCTGCAATTCAAAAATTGAAGCCGTGATTGCAGTCTCAGGTCGTTCCCATGAAATGAGAGAAGATTAGTATATTTCCTATTTCTTAAACAGGGAACTTAGATATTAAGTTAACCCTATTCCAAATACATTTTTAAAGTATTCAAATGATGAAAGTTATTGTTGTTTTTAAGCGTTTATATTGCGAGTGGGAACGACCAACATGGCCGCCATCTTGTTGCGAGTCTGGGTAACCGCTGGAATATTCTTGGCTTCAATTTTACTAAAACTTGTTCCAGACTTGTCAACAACTGGCAACAAACAATGTGAACACATCTCGTTGACAAGCTGCGAGAAAGCGCCAAAAATCAAGCTCACGAAATTAAACAAACGTTACTTCAGTAAAACTTACCGATATCCACAAATGTCCATATACGATCCAAAGTGTCTTTATCTATCCATTGGAGCACACTCCTCCAGCGATCAATTTCCCAGACGAGCCAAAACGGCATGGTAACGAGCGCCACAATTAAATCGCTTATAGCCAAATTTATAAGAAAATGATTCGTCACTTGTTTCCGAACTCGTTTAAAAACTCGAAATATAACGATGATCGCGGCGTTACCAGTTATTGTTAAAAAGATTACAAAAGATAACGCAATCACCGAGCCGATAGCCCCTTCTTCAGAATGTGGTTGAACAACTTGGGTTGGAACAGATGACGATTTGTTCATTGTTGGGAAAGACGCCATTGTGAAGAAAATGAATCTATAGAGTATAGGAAAAAGTCTTGGCATCAATAGACAATTCCCATAATAGAGTAATTTTAAAACTAGGCTAGGAGATGCGAATAAATCACCACAACTAGAAAGAACATACTAAAATGAGTAAAATTGCATAGTTTGGTTGCGGAGTGTTGTAAAATGCGGAAAATATAGCCTTGCAAAGTTTACAAATTTTCGGTATACTTTTGTATTGCGTGCGGAAATTGCTACCATTTTCGGCCCAAATGTGGTAGCAATTCCCGCACTTTGCAAGGCTGTATTTTCCGCATTTTACAACATTTCGCAACCAAACTTTGCAATGTTACTCATTTTAGTATGCTCTTTCTAGCTGTGGTGATTTATTTGCATCTCCTTGCCTAGTTTAAAAATTACTCTATAATGGGAATAATCAATTGTCTATCAAAAGGAGAATCTTTTGTATGTTACGTCGGGGTTTTTTTCAAACTTTAAAGTATGTTTAGTGCTTTATCTGTAAAATTATGCTAAAATTATGTTAATGGTATGCCAAAGCCGGAAAATGATGTCTGAAGTTCAGTAAGTTTTGCTTATATATGCTGTATAAATATTTAATTCATTTTGTATCTTGATTGACCATATATGAATATATCTTGACCATGAACTGCAGAGATGTAATCGAGCACCACTTTAAAAAGAGAGTTTAAATTTGCTCTAAAAGCTGATAAATTTGAACTTATTGTATCCGGACTAGACAGGATGCGCGCAATATCAGTATATGTGTTGATTTTCATGCACGAAATTGCCAGTTTTTGGTTGGAAATTGCAATAGGACACTACGCTTGCCCTTTCAAGCTGAGAGAGCCGCGGGTTCAATTCTTGGTCGGACCTCTACTCAAAGTCTTAAAATAATTGAGGAGAAAGTGCTACCTTTACATTGACATCAGTAAATGGTTAGACTTTCGCGTTTTCTCGGATAAGGACATTATAGGTACCTCGGATTTCCAATCAATTGGACGATATAGCCTGTTGAGAAATCCGCTCACCAATGAGTGCCGAGAAATTCAATAGACCTTTCCCCTTATAACCAAAATTTTGATCTAGGCAAGTCTAGACAAATATTTCATCACAGCTTGAAAGAGCATCACAAAATTAGTAATATTCCAAAGTTTCGTTGCGAAATGTTGTAAAATGAGGAAAATATAGCCTTGCGAAGTTTGCAATTTGCCGAGTCATTTTGCATTACAAACGGGAAATTGCAGCCCCAACACCCGAATCGGATGTCAATTTCCCGTTTGTAATACAAAATGACTGAAAAACGGCAAAATTCGCAAGGCCATATTATCCGCATTTTACAAGATTTTGCAACAAAACTTTGGAATATTACTAATTTTGTGATGCTCTTTCAAGCTGTGATGAAATTTGTGTCTATAGATCGAAATTTTAGTTATAAGGGGAAAGGTCCATTGTATAGCCGTGCTCAGCAACTTTAAATATTCCCATGCACTTGCGTAATATATGCAAAAACAGAATAATAAGCAAGAAAAATGGCGGTGCGCAACACTTAAACCTTTATACAACAATTTTAACTTATACTGCTATAGCTATTCAAACTCACCCGTAGTCAGACATGCTTTCAAAACACCGCGCTTTCCTGCTCGACACAGCTAGTCTTATCTCCCAGAACGATGCAGTCGATATAAACAGACACACACTAACTCTTTTTAACTGTATATAGGCGTCGTTCGCGATTTACTATTTCGCAATACCGAGTATAGATAACGTTAACGGCCGCTAATAGTCGGGACAAATTAGACAAGAATCTTAATATACTCCAAATTATTCATTTCCCTTGGCTTTTTTCCATACCAGTCCAGCTTTGGCTAGTTAAAAAGTTTTATTTCCAAATTCCAGTTACGAAAACTGTCAATGTATTGATATATTCTTGTAGTTTAGACACAAACGTTATACACTAGCGTGCTCTTTTAACAAAATTGTCTTGACATTTTCAATTAATATATAGCCCAAATCCTGACAGCAGGCGACACAATTATGATTCATAACTGTGTTCATACTCATTAGATTTTAAGATAATTCAGTATTTATAAAGTTTAATCGCGTTTACGATTTGTTTAATTAAGAGCTTCGATCGTTTTCAGTGCCTCAGTGGACTCGAAATTGCCCCGAGCAATTGACGTTATTTAAAAGCAAGATTAAGGAGCATGACAAACCGAGTTTGATAACTCGATAACGATTTTATTTTTGTCTTTGCGCGGATTAATTTAGACGAAAGGCCCACCCATTTAGCATTGAATTGACAGAGTGATTTGACGTTTGTAGTACGCAGTCGCCCGATCATTTTTGCGCGTTTTTGCACGGCGCGCGACGCAATCTTTCCAACAATGACATTCTCGCGTATTTGCGATCGGATGAAAGTGTTCAAAACCTAAAATCTTTTTGGCGTTCCTCTCAAAATTCCTTTGTTTTAGCTTTGTTTTGTAGTTTACACAGTTAGCAATTAATCTGGCGGTTTAGAAACACAAAATAATAGTTAAATATTGTCAACTTAGGAAATACAATGCTGTTTTTGATGTTACTCTGAGTGTATATACACACTCGGGGCAGGCTGAAAGGTTAGCGTGATAGCTGTAAAATTGACGCCATATTTATGCAACAGCAATTTAAGCAAAACTTACTGAACTTCAGACATTATTTTCTCTTTGACTTTGGCGTACCATCTAAAACCTCTTCATTTTAGCATCATTTTACAGATAAAGCACTAAACATACTTTTTAATTTTATATATTATTCTATTATACATATTACATATTACATGGTACAGATTTAATTATTATTCGCTGCCAAAAATGGGCAACACTAATCTCTTATTCTCTTGCCCTCATTTTAATCAACTGCTTATCAAAATACGAGCACTAATTAATAACAGAATACAAATTAACACTAAGCAATCTCCATTTTTCAACGCAGACAATAACTGCTGTGTTTTCAAACTGAGGAAGTCGAGCCTCTGTAATTTTAGATCATGCGTGGGTTAAATTGGCACTGTATATGCTTGGGTCATGTTATATAACACTTAAATGTACAAGGAACCGGTATTTCATTCCGTTTTGTAGTGCAGTGTCGAAAATATGTGTTGTATTTTATTATCAGCATTGAAACATATGCTCTGTAAGGCCCGAAAAATTAGGAGGAATGCGTTGAGAATGCTATGTAATTAACTAATTTTCTTGTTTTGTTTATCAGACGAAGCTACTGGGATATAGCAAACTGATGTTTGCTATTGCGCCTTATTTTTGCGATGAAATGCGCATTTTTTTAAAATTATGGGTACATGAGTCAAATTCATGCGATTGAATTCAGGCGCGATTCTTCTCGTTTGATCAAGCAGTGAAAGTTGAGAAAACTCTCATGTAAACTCTCGCTTGTCAACTCTCATGCAACTTTTGTTCTCGTGTGACCAAGCAATGAAAGTTGAGAAAACTCCAATGTGAACTCTCGCTTGTCAACTCTCATGCAACTCTTGTTCTCGTTTGATCCGAAGCCGTGAATGTTGAGAAAACTCTCATGTAAACTCTCGCTTCTCAACTCTCATGCAACTCTTGTTCTCGTTTCATCAAGCAATAAACGTTGAAAAAACTCTCATGTAAACTCTCGCTTGTAAATTCTCTGCATGTAACTCTTGTTCTCGCTTGATCAAGCAATGAATGTTGAGAAAACTCTCATGTAAATTCTCGCTTCTCAACTCTCATGCAACTCTTCTTCTCGTTTGATCAAGTAATGAAAGTTGAGAAAAATCTCATGTAAACTCTCGCTTCTCAACTCTCATGCAACTCTTGTTCTCGTTTGATCAAGCAATGAAATTAAGTTGAGAAAACTCTAATGCGTACTCTCGCTTCTCAACTCTCATGCAACTCTTGTTCTCGTTTGATCAAGCAATGAAAGTTGAGAAAACTCTCGCTTCTCAACTCTCATGTAACTCTTGTTCTCGTTTGATCAAGTAATAACGGATTAACGGTTGAGAATCTAGTAAATCCGAATAAATAATATGCACTACAATATTTAGCATACCTGTGGTCTGGCATGATTAAAAACAAGCCGTTTCTTCTATCTTATGAATTTTGTGCAGATATTTTCAGTACTTTAGTGACGTTTCATTAGAACTGGCAAAATATGAGACTAACCCATGAATATACTCTTTGGTTCTCTTCAGAAAACTGTTCTCATCTGACGATTGGGTTTAACGATTATAAGTGCTCTTATCTCCCCATGCAGTATACTATCACAGTGATTTCATGTTGATATCTTATATAAGAACACATTCACGTGTTCATTGCATGGTTACATAATGTTTGCGCATTGTTGTTTACATAATTCTGCGTGGGCCTTGCACCAGATAGAGAAGAGTTTTTGAAAGTTTTGGGATGCCTGTTGTTAGGGTGTGGTATAATGGTCAGAATGGTGGCGTCTTAATATGGTGTCGTGGACACCACGCTTCCCTTTCAAGTTGGGAGACCCGCGGGTTCAATCCTTTGCTTGGGCTTCTACTGAAGGTCTTAAAATAATTGAGGAGGAAGAGCTACATTCACATTGACACCAGTAAATGGTTAGACTTTCGCGTCTTCTCTGATATAAGCCATAAGGAGGTTAAAGTCGTATAGGTACCTCGGATCCCCTATATCAAATGGGTATAATAGCCTGTCGGGAAATCCGCTCACCAATAAGTGAGAAATTGGATAAACATCAATAAAGTCGAGTCTGACATAACAGTTAGTGCATTTGTCTGGACTAAATTTCTATCAGTTCGAAATTGTTCTTTCTATAGAAGCATGTCACACGAGCCAATTTTTGCTGCAAGAATTGTAATGCAATTTCGAACACAAAACCGTTTCATCCAAAGCTTAGTTAGGCCAATGAAAATTGATATCATGTTTCTCGTCCCCGCCCGCCGATGGGATTTATCTGCCGCACGAAAATTTTTCATTTATTATTTT